ACAAATGGACCCTCAACAAATTGGTTGGTTTCTTTGGTTTCCCTGGCAGACCAACCTCCCCCAGTCAACAAAAAACAAACACACACACAAACACAAACACAAACACAAACACAAACACAAACACAAACACAAACACAAACCCAAACACAAACACAAACACAAACACAAACACAAACACAAACACAAACACAAACACAAACACAAACACAAACACACACAAACACACACACACACACACACACACACACACACACACACACACACACACACACACACACACACACACACACACACACACACACACACACACACACACACACACACACACACACACACACACACACACACACACACACACACACACACACACACACACACACACACACACACACACACACACACACACACACGCGCACACGCGCACACGCGCACACGCGCACACGCGCACACGCGCACACGCGCACACGCGCACACGCGCACACGCGCACACGCGCACACGCGCACACGCGCACACGCGCACGCGCACGCGCACGCGCACGCGCACGCGCACGCGCACGCGCACGCGCACGCGCACGCACGCACGCACGCACGCACCCACACACACACACCCACACACACACACAGCCGCCGAGCCATCGCCTGCACCTTTGGCTTCTCCACCTCGACGCCTCAGATGGAACCGGCTCTTGGTTTTTGGGGGGAAAGTACTCCTGGCGTACCCTAAAGAGGTTGCCAAAAAGAGAGCCGTTGCCCAACAGTAGCCCTATTTGGGGTGGAAGGGACCTGGGGCTGGCTTGAAGGGATTTGTTGCGCGCTTTTTTGGGGCTGATTTGAACCCCAAAAATTGCACAAGGGCCGATATATCAAGTAAAAATCCCAGCCGTTCCTTGCGTCCGTGGGCTTGAGCGACGGGCTTGGTTTGGGAATGAGACTGGTGTGCCTGACACAAGGAGGTCGCCCCTGATTCCAAGCGGCTAGGACCAAATTCACGCTAGAGCTTGGAAGGTCAACAAATGGCAGCTGCCTAGGGCCAAAATTCGGGTTGGAATCCAATAAGTTGTCCAACGTCAAGGCTGGGGGTATGAAGTTGAGCGGACCACTGAGAAAAACCTTTTTCCAGCAAAACGCTACGCCTCCGTGACAAACTGGACAGAAGCCATGAACTCGAACAAGTATTTTGCCCAAACCTACTGTTGCGCGTGTGTGGCTGCCCATCCATGCACCTGCCTCTATCCTTCCAGCCCATTCATCCACATATCTGTTTGCGCATCTAGTTCTACACCTGTCCATCTACGTGATATCTACCCACCTTTTTTGTCTACTTCTCTACTTGCCTGCCTACCTTTCGACCAATGTAATCTAATCTGCTCTAGTCTATCCTAATGCAATCTATCTACCAATCAAATCTAGTCGAATCCATTCAGATCTATTTCTCCGATCTGTCAATCGAATCTAGTGATCTAACCTAGTCAAACATAATCGATCTCGCTCTCTCTCTCTCTCTCTTTCTCTGTCTCTCCGTCTCTCTATCTTCTATCTGTCTGTCTATCTACGTATCTCGCGCAGCTATCTACCTTTGTGTCTACCCATCTAGCTAGCTATCGGTCTAGGTCTATCTATCATTCTACCAACTTATCTACCTCTCATTCCTCGATCAACCATCTACCTACCCACTCGTTTATGTGGTTTCTATCTATTTATCAATCTATCTATCTATCCCAGTTATAACCTAACCTTGTCGATCTAGCTCATCTACCCTAATCCAATTGAACTATCCATCTACAGTACCAATCTAATCCTATCTAACCTGAGTCCTGTCTATCCATCTTTCTACTTGGTTCCGTCTATCCCAGTCAGTCCATCCATCTACCTATCTAATCTAATCTCGCTTGTCTATCGAACCTCATCTTGTCTTATGTAACCTAGTCTACTCCAATCTGTCTATCTTTCATCTATCTTCTTTCTTTCAACTTGTTCAATCCATCTATCTATTTATCTATCTATCTGTTTTTTCCATCGATCTATCTCTCATATCTATTTTTGATTTTAATACCTATACAACTCTCGGTCAATCTATCGATCGATCTATCGGTCATTCTGGCTGTTTATCCTTCTTTCTATCTACACAATCTGTCTATACATCTACGTACGGACACGCAGATCAGGTTCCGGCGAGACGCGCACCCAAGCCCTGCGCCTGCCGAATTCAACGCGCGACACTGCAAAGCGGTGCGCCTGCCACGAAATCAACACTATGTGCTCCAAAGTACTGCGGCTGCCACGATGTATGCGCGTGACCCTCCAAAAGACTGCGCCTGCTTCTTGGGTGCGCCTGTCACGAACTCCAACTTTGTCATTCACGACACGTATCAGAAATTTGCACGGGACTGCGGCGCCAGAACCGATTTTGACAAATGTTTATTTAGCCTGCCAAAACGAGCGGATTGCACGACAGGGCCGACGAAAAAGACACTTGCGCAAACGCTTGCATGCGACTGCCAAGCAAGACAACTCAAGGACGACCACCCCTGAGACGCGAATCACAATGGCATGGCGCCGCAAGCACGCAACCTTCACAACGCTGCGCCTCCGCAGCAGAACGACACGCAACCTTGCCAAGGCTACGATTCGCGCACAGTCGCAACGAACACAACATGTTGCAAGTCAGACCGATCACACATGCTCAGCCCCAACGGTGCGGCAACTTTCGCCACCTGCGAACTCTGGTGGCCACTTGCGAACGCTTTCGAACGCTTGCGGGCGCAGCGACGCATCTCGCGAACACACCGACCCCCAGACCCTTTCTATAACGGGAACCCTTCTACTACGCATACGGGCAAAAAGCGACCCGCTACACCAATGACTACACTCGACTCCAACCAAATGACCTCCGTCGGGCCAAACCTGAAACACAATAGGGTTACATCCGGTCGGTTCGCCTTGGGCAAGCCCCATGGACAAACGCTGATCCCGTTTGGATGACCAAAATGCCCCTTGCAGTTCCCACTTACTCGTCGATTTTCTTGGATTCCTACGACCCTGAAGTCCAACCCCCTGCTGTTTGCGAATTTTTGGAGGGTGCAACCCGCCCAAGTCGTACAAAGACGGGCTTTTCAAGTCCTCCTCCGTTTGGACACGGAATCCTCTGCAGGTGTGAAACCATCATGTTGGTTCTTGTCGGCGTCCAGCAAGCAACGCGCAATGTGCACATGGCCACCAATACTAGCAAGGTGCATGGGCGTAACTCCTTTGTTGTTGCCCTTGTTTTTGTCGGCGCCGGCTTCCAGCAAGCAACTAACCACGTCCACACGGCCATGGCCAAACTCAACAGCAAGGTGCATGGGCGTAGCTCCATGTTTGTTGCCCTTGTCCTTGTCGGCGCCAGCTTCCAGCAAGCAACGCACAATTCTCACGTGGCCCTCCCAAGCCGCAAAGTGCATGGCCGTATTTCCATCGTTGGTGCTCCTGTCCTTGTCCGCGCCGGCTTCTAGCAAGCAACCCACAAGGTCCACATGGCCACCCTTAGCAGCAGCGTGAATGGCCGTCCATCCTTCGTTGTCGCCCTTGTCCTTGTCAGCGCCGGCTTCCGCCAAGCAACCAACAATGTCCACATGGCCAGACTGAGCAGCAAGGTGCATGGGCGTAGCTCCTGTGCTGTTGCCCTTGTCCTTGTCGGCACCGGCTTCCAGCAAGCACAGCACAATGTCCACGTGGCCATGCCAAGCTGCATGGTGCATGGGCGTAGCTCCATAGTTGTCACCCTTGTCCTTGTCGGCGCCGGCTTGCAGCAAGCAGCGCACAATTCTCACCTGGCCATTCCAAGCAGCAAAGTGCATGGGCGTATTTCCGTCTTTGCTGCTCCTGTCCTTGTCAGCGCCGGCGTCTAGCAAGCAACGCACAATTCTCACGTGGCCATTCCAAGCAGCACAGTGCATGGGTGTTTCTCCTACTTCGCTGTCGCCTTTGTCCTTGTCGGCGCCGGCTTCCAGCAAGCACATCACAACGCTCTTGCAACCTCTTTGTGCGGCAGCATGCAGCGGTGTCTCTCCCAGAACCACCGTGTCTGGGTCACAAGGCAAGTCCAAAAGGTTCATGACCCCTTGATCGGCGCCCTTTCGGGCTCTCGCTAAAAGCACTTGGGCTGTTGGAGCACTTGGCTGCACAAACGGCCGAACCACGGCCACCAAGGAGTCCGCGTTGTTCCAAGGGGTATGATGCCCAAGCACCTGGTCTCCGCAAACCAAACACAGCTGCCTGAAGTGGGGGAGCTGCATCTGCCTCGCCACAGCCATCCTCAAGATGTCAACAAAACATCCACCGCTCCGTCGGAGTTGATGCGTTTCGTGCCACCACACTTCAAACTCCAGCTCCGTCATCACCTCCCGGCCACTGGACAAGCGGACGCTTGCCATAGCGCCAAAGGGCTGAAGGCTCCGAATACATGTGTCTTGTTTGGGGCACTGTTTGTGGGCTTGTTTTCACGAGGACTGAAGCTTTGCAGTCACAGGTCGCTCGTTCCCCAGTGACGAGTACTAAATGTGTGTCTGTGTGGGTTTTGTTGAGGGTGCCCTTCGGGATGATTTTAAAGGGAAACACCCGAACAACTGCCATTTGTTGGGGGGGTCGCCAATTTGACTCATGCACAAATGATGATGACTTACAGGGCTTCATTTCCTGCAAAGTAAACCTACCACATCCAACCACAAGTCTCACCTTGAGGATCCCCTGATTGGAGAAAGACCCAGATCTGGTTGATGGCTGAAAGCCTTGTGGAGGGCTGTGGACTTGAATGTTCGGAGCTTCAGTTTGACCCTCTTTTGAGGTTTTACGGAAAAGCCATTTGGTTCCAATGGTCTACGAAGCTGCGGTCACAGCAAAGACCAGACATGTTTTTTTGCTGAGTGCTGCGGAGAGCAGCCTTTCTTACTTGCATGGTGGCCATAGGGTGTTTAAACGAACACCCTTTTTGTCACCCCGTCGGACCAAGGGTACGGGTTCATTTAGGAGGACGAGAAGGGGGTGTCACAAAATTGAGGAGGCGCTGCCCTCTTTCCACTTGTGGGCTCAATAACAAAAGGCCCAGGAGCTGGCAGCCCGCCCGTCCCATCCGGCGCCAGGAGGCGGTGGGTGGCGTGGGTGGCCGCGGCATAAATCGTGAGGAAGATGGCCAGGAACAAGCTACCCTCCTGTGCGGCGGTGCTCCTGTTCTTTCCCTTTTCGTGCGCGGCGGTTTCTGCTTCTTTCTCTAGTTGTTCATGTCTTGGGAAGCACTCAATGTCGTGTGTGTGTGTGCGGGGTTCGTTTGTTTCGCGGTCCCGCAATCTGCAGTTTTGTGCGAGATGGCCGCAGTGTGGGGGTCTCGAAAGATAGCTGGACATGCGCTGAAAATAAGCTGGAAGCGTGGTCAAGCAAATAGAGGAGTACACAGTCTATGCTGGACATATATGTCGTACAAAAGTAACGCCGGAAACATGCTACACACATGTGCTAGACATGTGCTAGACATGTGCTAGACATATGCTAAAAATGTATCAGACTAGAACCCGAATAGGAGAAGAAACCAGATGTTTTTGCAAGACCGAACAGACCCACGCTAGATAGATGCCATAAATTACAAAACAAACCGGGACATGCTGGAAACAAGTCAAACATGTTGGGAACCAAATGCATTGCTGCATACACACTGGCCAAAAGCTAGATACATGCTAGACAAGCACATCTGATGGAATTGCACTAGCAAAAGCTGCAAATGTAATGTCAATGCAAGGTATATTCCAACCATACGCTAAGAACAAACAACCACGCATATTGGCTACACGTGTATTTGTACATGCCTGCTGTCTACTCTAGAAATGCCAATTAAACATTTATGGGAGCTCTATTAGAAGCATGCTGTACATTGCTGAAAACGCAGCCACTCACATAGGTTTTTCGAAATGCTAGATCTGCTTTAGTTGCAGATCTGGGCCAGACTTCGACCCCTTGCATTTTTAGGTGTTGCTGGTCGAAAGGGAAAATGATGGAGAAAAAATGATAAAGAGCAAAAACAAAAACAAGGCAAGCGGAGTCTGGCAATGACTAGAACTACAGAGAAGCAAGCTAGACATACAAGGTTTCTTTGCTTTTGGCACGGCTTGATGGCTGGCGGGGGCAGTGGGCCCGGTGGGTTTACATAAGTGTGTGTGTCATTTTTGAGGGTTAGGGAAACCTAAGGTCAATCACTGATTCGCTCGGAGTGCAAAGGGCTCAGTCATAGGATCCCTTCCCCTTCAAACCTTCCAACCCCAATGAAAAACTAATCCTGGACCCAACCCCCCCCCAAAAGACAAGAAACGCGCCCAACCTTCTTCCCCCCCCCCCCCAGGCTGAAGTTTTTGAATCCCCACAAGACTCAGCGCCTGAAAGCCCGCGCCGGCCAGCAGCGCGGTGCCCAGCGTGGGGCCCAAGGCCTCCCCCAGCGCCGCCGCCGCGTTGAAGAGCGAGCTCCTCGGACAGCCGCGGAAGGCTTTTCGGGCGCAGCAGCCAACACACCCAAGGTAGTTTCTGCTTTTGATTCATAAAACCTCCAATAAAAGAAATCCTTTTCGGATGTCCCAAATCGTTGCCAATACTAAAATACAAGCAGCCAATACTTGCCATTAAAGCAAAGATTAGGGGTCCTTCAAAGGCACCCAGATCTGGGTAGCCGGCCTAAAAAGGTGCCGCGGGAAAAACACGGCATGGCTGAATTGGCCGTGTCTTGGGCTTGTTTGTTGTTCTCCCCCGCCCAAAACTAAAAAAGCCTCCAAAAGAAATACTTGCATGCCCAATTGGCAACCAACAAGTGATGGTCAAACCGCCCTTTAAGCAAGGAAGATGGGTACCCAAACACACACACACACACACACACAGACAGACAGACAGACAGACAGACAGACAGACAGACAGACAGACAGACAGACAGGCAGGCAGGCAGGCAGGCAGGCAGGCAGGCAGGCAGGCAGGCAGGCAGGCAGGCAGGCAGGCAGGCAGGCAGGCAGGCAGGCAGACACACAGACACACAGACACACAGACACACAGACACACAGACACACAGACACACAGACACACAGACACACAGACACACAGACACACAGACACACAGACACACAGACACAAAAACACACAGACACACAGACACACAGACACACAGACACACAGACACACAGACACACAGACACACAGACACACAGACACACAGACACACACACACACTTCCAAGAATGATGCTCCCAAGGGACCAGGGATGGTAGCGTGGGCACCCAAATCGCATACAGAGTTGGGGTGGGGAAAGCCATTCCCACAAAAACATCTTACCTTTCGGTCGGGCCTTGAATGAACCTCATTTGGGTACGCTTCTTTTGGAAGCTCCTGGGCATCAGGAGTTCCCCATATCCTCACAAGCTCCAGTACCCAGGGGGAAAGGACACGTGTTTCTCCGCTTTGAGGGAACTTGTTGATGATTTTCTTGGAATCAAAACACACCCCTCGTTTTCTGGGCAGTGAGCCCAACGGCCCAAATCACACCTGCCCGGGGCCCCGGACACAGGGGGCGATACTTGGTGTCGCGCCACCTCGGGCCCCACGGCGTTTTGGTCCAGACGCTTTGTACATGGCAGGCGGCTGTCTTTGAACAGGGAAACCCCAAACTTGTGATTCTCCTTTTGGTAGCAACCAAGGGGTACCCTGACACACCCCTGTTTTACATGGGCTGACGTTTGGCAAGGGGAATTCAGGGTCAGTTCCCAATTCAGAACGGCAATTCGCCCCAATGATTAGAGCAAAAGGTCAAACCTTTTATAGGTATGGAAAAGCAATTGCAACAAAGTGACTCTCCTTTTGCAGGATTGCTTTTTTGCCTTCAAAGGACTGTTTTCTTGCTCAAGTGCCCGATCTTGAACAGCCATTTTCTTCGCTCATCCAAAGAGTCCAACGAGCAAGAATTGCCCAAAAATACGGGTCTGTCTCAGAATAGGAATCGAACCTCTGTTTGGATGGCTTTAAAGGGAAACCACAACCTGACCAACCGCCCAGAGGGTCCCTAATTTCGAGAAGAAAAAAAAGGTCGATCAAGCCAAGAGTTCAAGCAGGCCACGATCGAGGAAACTGGCAACACCTCCTATGTCCGTCTTTACCGAAGGACAGGAGGGAATACACTTCTGCAGAAACTCCTCAAACACCCATGATTTTGAAGGACCCCAGAATGTGGGTTCCATGTTAACTTGCAGTGGAGAAAAGGATCCGTTTGGATCCATGGCCCAAAAGTAGACACACACTAGAAAATCAAAATGACGAAAAAGTCAAATCGTATGTGTCACGCGCCCGAAATGCCCAAGCCCAACCCAAAGTCACTGGCAATCCACACCAGCCACACAGGAACAGCGCAGCTCAAGATCGTTCAGGGGAATTGGGGGGCTCTCGTGGGAGAGACCCATTTGAAGGCAATCCAGTGTTTCAACCATTGAAGGTTGGTCACCTCGAGACTCGGAGCTAAAGGCATCCTTTAACTGCTTGCTGTTTCTCTTGTGGCACAGTGAGTTTGTTTTCATCATTCCGGGGATGTTTGTCCCCCAACCACTTCTTAGAGTGAGTCCTATGAGTTTCAATCGCCAAAATCAGAGGCTCCAGAACTGAGGAGGTGTCATCATTTGGCCTTGCTCGGCTCCAGAATCCCTTGACCTGTTCCACCATAGTGTCCTAGGAGACTATGCACCCATGTGACATGCCAAGTTGACTCTCCAGGGAAGGCTTGCCTTCGAGCCATTGCTAAAGAGAGCCCTCAATTTATAATAATTGTTGCACAAATGTCTCTCACCAAGCTGAATGGATGAGCCCCGAAAATTTACCATCGTGGGCGAACCAGCAGCTCCTGGTGAAGCCCGGGAAAAGACCTCCTGGCTAAGGGTGTGAGTCACCATGCTCTTGCGGTTTTAGAGGGAACCCAAAAGGGAAAGCCACCTGGGGGTTCCCAGGCTCTTGGTCCCCGCCCGCGCCGGGATTCGGCGCCGGGTTTCGGCCCCAAGTCCGTCCCCGCCTCGATTGAAGTGCCGCTGGACTGGCGGAGCCGCGCTGCGGCCGTCTCCACCTCGGCTGCGGGTTCCACCGCCGATGTCGGAGGTCTGCGAATGGGGGGTGGCCAGGAAACCGACTTGGTCGCGAGTACTGGAGCAAACTCTGTGTAGTCGGTTCGCCCCCAAACAATGATTCGGATATCCCAAAAGAGAACAGTGCGTCCTTCCGGCATTTCGACCAGGTTTTACCATGCTTTCCCCTTACCTACGAGTGGAAGCGCCGGGTCAGACGTGTTGAAGGGACACCCCTCCCCCCTTTTTGGTGCCTACCTAAAAAAAAAGAAGGGAAATCCTGGCGCTCCCTAAGCGGCTGCGTTTTGGGGATATGCTTCATCCAAGGTCCAAATGACACTTCCCTCCCTCTGTTGACCTGGATCCAAAAAGCCGTTGGCGGAAATTCGGGTAAAGGAAAGCCGATGACCGATGTTCTACCTTTGTCACCAAGATTACCAACCCAAAATAGCCTGATTTGCGCATTGATCTCAAGGCCGAAACAAACCTGAAGTTGACCATGTACTACCCGTGGGGGCTGGGAACCCGTGATCCAAAAATAGGTTGCGCCATACTTCACCCATGGTAAAAAGTGTCTTGGTGGACGGTCAAAATTGAAGAGGGTTTGCCTTGGGACTTGCAACCCCTCCCGGTGAGGAAATAGAGGCAACCCCTCCTTTGGAGGGTTTCCACATCTTTTGGGCCCCTTTTTGAGTGTAAACTGCAAAAAACAGAAACAACTCCCAAGGACCTTCGCAGAAATGCCCCCCCAAGCAGCTGGAGAATTGAACAGCACCCCAAAACCTATTGACCTTTGGTTCGAAACCCGAACTGGTCATAAAGCTTTCTGTGGGAGCCTCACTACATGATTGAAGACAAACCCTTCTGTGATGCCAACGTGTACCATCCCTTTAACTAGTTGACCAAACGTAGCACATACAACTGATGCAAAACCAGCTGATCTCCCCAATCCACCAATCATCAGGCCCTTCGGCTGCTCAAACGGGTCATAATCAGAGCATATGGTATCGAAGTAGTCTACGGAATCTGCAAACAGCACCTCTTCGTCAACGTCCAAGCACCCCTTCTTCGGGGGCCCTTGACAGCCATAGTATTAAATAAAGAGACAAAGGCGTGACACGGGGTACACTCATTCAGTTCCCACTCAATGGAGGTACTCCCCAACATCCAACTGGGAGGCAGAACAAATATTGACCGTGGCTCAAAGTAAACCGGGAGCTTGAAGTGAAATCCCCGTCCAAAAGTCAATCAATTTACTGGCGCCAACTGAAAAACGATCACCTCTTTTGGAGGATCCCTTTAAAGAGAAATGGCCCGGACCCCCATGTGTAAGGGAACCCCCCAAAAGAAAACATGCGGTGGGCAGCCCGCGGCTTCTAGGTCCTCCAGCAGAGAGGTCAGAATAAGGGTACCGTTCTTTTTGCTGTAGTCTATTTTAGTAGGGGAACCCTCCCAACCAAAAAAGGGTGAGAAAGGGCACTACTGGGGCAATCATGATTGGACTTAGGCCCAGTTATAGAATGTATATTCCATTGTTTGCTTCCCTTTGAGTCCCTGGCAAAAATGGTTGAGACCTGAGACCCGTCATCCAAGTAGGGGCCTGCTTTCCCGAACCGAACGGAGAGACCTCCGGAGAATGGTTGCACCTAGCTGGACCTACTCTTTCTTTGGCTCCCGGCCATGGTGGGCAGCACCGGAGTCCAGCACAGCGCCCAGCCCGAGCCTGACTCGGTCCCGAGCCGATCTCCCACCAGACCGAGCCGATCTCTTGCACCCACTAAGAATGAAGAGAAGCAAAAGACCTAAAAGCCTGAAGACATGCCAGCAACAATGAAGTTGTCTAAAATGACTGCGGGAACTCCTCAACGGGCTGTGGGAAGTTCTTTACCAAGGAAAACCGGTGATGCAAACTCTTAAGTGGAGGAGTCATTGTGTTTTGGCCGTGAAACCGCCCAGCGCCACGAAAGTGATTTAACCTTGGTCTCCCTTGTGTCTGTTCTTGGCCTCCAGCGAGGCCCTTTTCCTTTTGGATGAGGCATCCCTTTAACATCAACTACATCCTCCATGTGGTTCAGTGTCCTCCATGTTTTTTGGGGTGTGGAGTCCCCCATATTTGTTTGGCGAAACCTTCCTTCCTATTTTTGGCACATGCGCTGATCAATCACATTTTTGGTTATAAACTCCATATGTTGCACCCCCGGTTTTGTTCATGTGTTCAATGCAAATATGCCATGCATCATTTGAAGCTCGTTCAGCTAGGAACTTGAGGAACATGGTCCAGAAACCAAGCCATGTTCAGCCAAATGCCATGTGCAGGGGGGTACCTCGCACTTTGACACCATACGTGGGTCGAAGAGGCCAACCAGAGTGAAAGAGAGTGACTGTTAAGCCCCCGGTCTAGGTCCTTAGGTGCTCTTCAGAGAGGCCCCTCTATGATGCTTTTCCAGAAATGGCATCCAGAGATAGACTCGTCAAGCCTGCGAAGCCTTTTCTCCAAGCCTTTGGGCCTAACATCCCGCCTTCATAAGAGGGGGGTGTCCCCCAATTCGATCGAGTCTGGCCCATAAAAATGAAAATGGAAGCATAAATGGAATTTCAGGTTCCCCCCCTCCCCAAGTTCGAATCATTTTGTGGGGTGGGGAATGGCCCAATCTGCTTTCGTCAAGTGGCCATGGGGCATAACCCATGGCTCCATTTTGGGGTGGATGAACATCCATTTGCAACCAAAATGTTAATGGGTTTTGACCCACAGCCAAGTGCTGAAGCGCCCGAACTTCGGGCGCCTACCAGCAGCAAGCCGCTGATCACCGCCGGCCAGGGCGGCAGCACGGACGCGCTGCCCAGCAGCGCGCAGCCCGTGCCATAGATCAAAAGCCCTGCGCGCGGTGGGGGGGGGTCTCGAAGTTGGAAGATTTTGAGCTTGTGTTGCAAAAACAAAAAGAGACCCTAGAGTGGCCGCGCTTTCTTTTAACCACCCACTTCAGATGGAACCTGACTGGGAGGTACTGGATTGGACCGCTTTTTCTCTAAATAGCTAGCGGATGAGGGTTTGTCATTAAAGCGGCAGGTTCGTCGGTGAGTGAGGAGTTAATCCATTTAAGTCCCAGGTAGTTTAGCCGCTCACCAAGTCAAACTGCCCATTTCAGTACCACTGAGTCCACTGAGGGCCCCTGTGGCAGACTTAGACCCCTTGCAAAAAGCCACACTGTGTGCTAAAGGGAAACGGTTCGGAACACCAAAACAGCAAAGGGGCCAAAAGGTAAGCTAGCCCCCTGCAGATTTTGACATGAAACCCCGAGAACTTTGCGGAGGGACCGCCTCTTTGGGGTCCAATGTGAAGTAAGCCTGGCACCCGCCCCAGCTTTTGGGCTCGCTGATCAGGCGGTGCGTCCCCTGTTTGCGTGGATGGTGCAAAACCCAGCACATGCAAAGCCTGGATAAACCAGCAAAAACCGAACATCTAAAACCCATGGTTCCAATGGATCCCTCTTTTTCACCTCCACTTCTTGGCAGAAGTCCAAGTCCCAAAACTAAAACTGCGGAAAACCCTCACACCCCCCAGAAAAAAGTCACCACCCGTCGAGCCCTCGACCGCCGGAAGCGCCGGAAGCCGCGATCCGAAGGCGCCTGCGGTGATGGGCACCTGGGGTCCCAGCCTCTCCGCGATGAACGGCACCGCCATGGTGACGAAGGTCGAGGGCACCGCCGACCTCCGATTCGGCCGGTTCGAGGAGTCGACGCGATAGAAAAAAAACCGGGGGGTCGCGAAAAGGCCGTCTGGGCTGGTCCGTTTTGGGAGTTGGTACCTGTTGTTGGTGGGTTTTGAGGGGAAACCAAAAGAAAAGCCAAGCCATTTTGGGGGAGGGGGGGGGGGCGAACCAAAGACACGCCCATCTGTGTTTTATTGCTCTAAGTTCCTACTTGTACCACAAAACCCAGGGCTCACTTGTTCCTAAAAAGCCTGGCCTGGCAGGGCTTGCCTTTTGACCCTCCTTGAGGAAGTAAAGGGATCATTTTCCACGATGAGCTGCGATCTTAAAAAACCAAGGACGTCCTGATTTCCTTTCAGAAATCCCCTTCCGGTTCCCAAATTTCAAGCCCTGAGCACCAAAAAGCGTCGTGATCCCCTAAGGACCTTTCACGTAACCCTGGGACGAAAGTTGCAGCTGCTCGCGGCTTGGGCGATCCGAGCGGCAGCGACATGAGGAAGCCAGTGAGCGTCTGGCTAATGGGGCCCAGGACCTGGCGAAAAACGGCCGGTGTGCCCCGGATGGTGGGTCATGTTCCTTGGTTGCCCCAAAAACACCTTGGGCAACGTGTGCCATTTTGTCGGGGGGAAGAAAAAAAAAACGGATTTGTTGGGCGCTTGCCTCAAAGCCAAGGGGCTCCGCGAGCTTTGAGTGGTTGGACCCGCCCCGGTGGACATCAAATTTAGGTGATGAGTTATGTCCACCCACTTCGGAGGAGCTCCCCCCCGCGCCAAAAAAAAGAAAACACATGCCCATTTGCTGAAGCCGGCAAAAAGACATCGGGATTAGATGTTTAACCTTGCCTCATCTGCATTGGTGACTGTAAACAAACATGTATCAATTCAATTCACTCTATCTCCAAGTGTGATTCGAACGAAAAAAGAAAATCAGCTCTGCGATATCTTCCATGACGACCTTGCAGCCAAGGCACACGGTGGAAATAGTCGCCTGAGCTCGTCAGAATGCCGGACAAAACGCTCAACCTGACAGGATAAACCAAGTGGAGTCAACTTTGCTCTTAGTGGGTTATAACCATAACGACTTACTAACTTGGCTGATCATCCAGACAATCCCGTCTACCCAAGGTGATTCCTGGAACACAAACTAGCCAATTGGAAACTGAAGAACCCCCAGGAAACAACATGAAACCCCGGAAGAAACAAAACAGAAAGAACAAAAAAAGAACTGCCAGGAAATGAAAGAAACCCAGGCGTCTCCCTAAAGTTCGGAGAAAACAGTACACAAACAAAAAAAAACGAAAAAGACACAGGCCAAGTCCCGCAAAAAGAGAGAAACGAGAGGCCCACTTTTTGCGGGGCTCATGGCACTCGGTCCACTCGACTGCGCCGAGGGGCCGAGGATGGGCTCGTAGCCGCCCCAGACTCCGAGGCACAGCCCCGAGATGCCGCCCAGCAGCAGCACCCGGCAGCTGCTCACCCGGCCCACCGTGACCTCAGCGGCCGCGCGGAGTTTTTGGGCCGAGAACGGCCGGTGGTTTTCTGAGTTGGAAAAGAAACAGCATCCCCATGAACCCAAAAAATGACCAAAAAAAAACATCCAGGGTTCGTGGCGTGGTCTGAGTTGGATGGAGCCCAAAAACCATCCCCATGAAGCCTGGCTTTGCAGGGGCCCTTAAAACAAACCATTTGGCCATGGCTTCTCACAGGTGTCCTTGCGGTCTTTCTCTTGTCACGTCCCTGGCGGTCTTTTTCCGAATGGGGATCCCTAGGTTCATGTCCAAAATGTTGGGTGATTCCTGCAAGGAACCAGCAAACCGCGTAGGTGTCCTTTTTGGGGAAATAGATGGCCCTGGTAGTTGATTGAATCCCCAAATAAACCAGGGCCATCTATTCTTTCTAGCAAAACAAAAACCCTCCGCAGCGTCCCCCGTTTCCCGCTGCTTTTGCGCGCGAAAAGCCACCAACCAGCGTCGTACCTCGGTTTTACGAACCTCTACACGTGCCAAAACCCCCATAGGTGTCCTTTTAGGGGAAATAGATGGTCCTGATAGATGATTAAACCACCAGGTAAGCCAGGAATCGCCGTCTATTTTTCGAGCAAATCAACCAAAAAGGACACCTATGATGGTTCTGAGTTGGAATGGAGCCCAAGAAAAAGCAGCCCCATGGCGTTGTTGCTGGCGAGACCCCTCTGCTTTAAAAAAAAAAAAAACGGTTTGTGGGTTTAGTGGAAAGCTCCTTGATTTCCCAAAAAGTTGAAGTCTAAAGATCCAACTCAATAGCAGTCAAGATGAACCTTGGCTTTTCAGGCCGCCCTTAAAACAAAGCATTTGGCGAAAAGAAAAACCATGCATCAGAGTTGGTTTCCCAGGGTTTCATCGTAATTGGGTCAACCACTCTTTTAATGGGGGTTGACACCCCTTGCGGTTCGATAGGCAGGAATGAGGGAATGACCACAAGAATAACTCTCCCCGAGTTGGTTTCCTTTAAGGGAATCCCCTTCCTGCCCATTTCTTATGCCAAGGGACGGCGAAAGTAGTTTGGCCTACTAGTAGTAGGCGAAAGTAGTTTGGCCTACTAGTAGTAGGGGCAAAACTTGTCCAAGTACTACTAGTTTGCTCCAATCATGAATGTGTTCAAGTACAGCCCCAGTCAAGTAATTTAGGCTTTCACACACAAACAAATGTTGAGACTCTGCTTCATATGTCTACAATACACGTAAAATAGTTTCTCGAGCCCCAACAGGTTCAGGCTCTCCCTGTAAACACTATCCAAGCAGGCCTCCCTCCCTCTCTCGGTCTCTTTTTTTCTCTCTCTCTCTCTCTCTCTCTCTCTCTCTTTCTCTCTTTCTCTCTCTCTCTCTCTGTGTCGCTCTACATGAAAGAAAGGGGCAGAGGGATCATCCTGCAAGTCCTCTGCCTCCTCACCTGCAGCAAGCATTGGGCGAAGAGGTTTCCCCGCTTGAGTGGTTTCTTTCTTCAGGAACCCCTTTCGGGGTTTTGAGGGGTGCCAACAGTTTCGCCAGCATGGTTGGGGTCTCCGTATGTGACACAAAGCTAGCGAATTGTTGAACGAAGTCGTAACCCACGCATAAGCCTCAAAGTGGAGTCAAGACTGTTGTTGGCTAACTACTTCCTTTACTTGGACCAAGTCACCCCACGACAAGGAAAAGCACTCTTAATCTGGCCCAACATAGACTTAAGACCACCGACAATCGGGGATGGCAACTGATTCCTATTGGCCGCAAATTTGTTTGCCCAAACACATGGAAGTCATGGGGGGCTTCTTTTGGGTTAAGTGGCTGAAATGTTACCTCTTGGGCAAATGCTGATTTAGCTTCCTTGCTGATAGGGTTGTGATAAAGGGGCGCATACAGAGCCCAGGCACAGAAGAGCATGTGGTACATTTTCTGGCAACACGATTCAGGTGATCTGGAGCCAAGCATGAATGCCGCTGCGACGTCTCTTTTGGGGAGGAAGTGGAAAAAACGGAGGGTGTTGGAAGACTACTATCCACCCTTTGACCGTTTGCTGGCAAAATCATCTGAGATGTGCCGTGGTCAAGGCTTTGCGTGTAGTGTGATAGCCACGGATCCCTGGAAACCTTTTGAAGGCCATCCTTCCCTGTATAGCGGTACGCCATGGGGCCTGTTGCACAAATTATGATCAGTGCTTTCTAGCCAAAAGTTAAAGTCAAAAGGAGTTGTTTACCAGGTAGGAGTATGGCTAGGATCAAATCAGAATTGAAATAGAAGTTACCAAGCGTTTAACTTCCTGCCCCTTAAACGGCGCAAGCAAAAAACAAAAGAAACCCAAGGAAAGCACAATTTCAGTCTATAGGTCCGAAGGTTTAAATTGCAAGGTTTAAATTGCAAGGGTTTAAGTTTAAATTGGCTTTGAATTAAATTGCGCTCAGAGTTGTTGTGTTAAATTAGATTTTGAATTACGGTCGTTGTGGGGGTAAGAGTTCAATTAGACTTGAATTAGAACTTTGACTGTGAATTAGATTTTAAATCTGAATTGCTTCCCAAGTAGGTGTTGAACTGGAATTTAGCTAGGATTCAGATCGAACCCAGTACAGAATAAGAACTTAATTAGAATCGGAGTAGACTCTAGTAAGAAAAGACAAGCTTGTTGCCTATTCTAATCAACTAAAATAGAGTTCTTATTCTTCAATTCGACTTTAAATAAGAGTTCCTTTCCAAGTATGATTGCAATTAGAAAGAAATAGTTGGAATGCCAAGGTGCATGTCATTTGGCCTGCCATGTCGCAGGGGCATGTCATTTGCCATGATCATGATGTTCTTACAAAAAACGAGGAAACCGGGGAAAAACAAAAAAACTCAAACAAAACGTACCCTTGGCCCGCCCAGGGACTCTTGGCTTCTTTATTGGCTGTTTGGCTGCTTGCCATGAGGTCTGGGGCAAGCACAGAACAAGCCCTTCCTGCCGTTTGCATATCCGCAGCCGCAGCAAGAACATAAACCAACACACAAATCGTGACTTGCACACCTGCAGGCCCCATGGCGTACCCATCCGGTATTCTAAGGGTGAACAAATTTGCAAGCCTCTCACCCATCCTTCCAGAGCCATTCCTTCTGTTCCAGTGTTCTCTTTGCTGATCCCAGCCTCGGAAAAACCGGGTTGGGTTTGGCCTGGGCAAGAGTTCTCCAGCTCAGATGGCTGGAACATGGGTCCAGGATTTGGACCCCCTCAAAAACTAATGGCTTCGGTGCTTGTTTTTTGGCTTTCCTGTGCAAAAGCCCTCCAAAAAGCATAAAGAATGCGACATACCCCGCATGCTTTGTAGCAGAAACAAGGCGACCACTTCGCCCCGCCTTCTACCAGAGGCCGGGCCTGGGACCGCCTCGTGTCCTGCCAAAGCGTGACCTGGAGCTTGAGCGCCGAAAAGAAAACCGTTTCGGCAATTTGGAGGTCCAAGATTTTCCTGAATCTCAAGATGTTCCCCCCAAAAAAGAAACAATCTTCTGACTCATGATCTAAACCCGGTATCAAAATGGTCGTAATCGCAGAACCATGCTTCAAGAATTGAGAAGGCGGATATCCGCGGCCTTTTATGGTTGGGAGTATCCCTAACGTGAGGGGAAATGGGGCATGATAAACAAAACACACTGTCCAGGTGCCAATGTAGAAGAAAGGGGAACCTTTTTGGAATGATCAAGGGACCTCACCCCTCCATAGGGTTCCAACCCTGATGTTGAAACCACAATTGTTTAAGCGACCTCCTTTTGGCGTGTGACCAGGGTTGGTTTGTTTGAACAAATTTTACCCAACACTGCTCCATTGTGTGTTTAGATGTAACCAGGGTTGGTTTGTTTACACATTAGTTTGCCCAACCCTGCTCCAACCCCAACTCGCTCAACCACCCAATGGCCAAAAAAGAAACATCTTTTCAGGGTAGACCTTTTCTAGTGGGGAAGCCAAACCAAAAGGGAAAAAGGGTGCGACTGAACCACTGGGACCATAAGCTCATTGCTTAGCCCCCGGCCAGTAGGAAGATCACATGCAGAACTGCGCTCACCGCGAAAGGCAGAAAGAAGCCTTTCAATTGGCGCGGGTCGTGAGGGGAACCCGCCCCAAAAGGCCCCCAAGCTCTAGAGTTGTGTCCTGTGCTTCAACCTGATGTGCTTGGTGTTTTTGGCCCATGGCTTAAACTGACCCCTGACAACCCGCCCCCCACATATTAATCAAGGGCGTCTCCCTGGAAGAAAGGAATGCCCACGAAAAAGGGGCCCCCTCAATAATGAGTGAGGGGGCCGCGTTCTGCCCCAGCTCCGAAAGGTGGCCCCCGGGAGAATAGTGCGGCGAAGGGGCGGGGGGCAATGGTGAAAGAGCAAGCCCGTTTTGCAGGACCCTCCTCCTAACAAATTATCCTTAAAGACCAAAGATTCAAACAAATCCCGTCCCCCCTTTGTTGGAAAAAACAAGGGGTGGTTGAAACTAGGGGGCAACCGTGAACAAACCTGATTTGGCTGCCCGCAAGGCAGCATGCCTCTTTCCAGACAGCTCTCGTGTTGGGATGGTCTTTGATCGGGAGTTCCAAGGGCAGCTGGAGCCCTTGTTGGGTGTTTGGTCTCGCATCCTCCGGAATGGATGGGATTCTGTCTCCACGACTAGCACTTCAACAGGGCCTCTTCCCAATCATGGGAAGCAGCGCCAGCAACGACTTTTTGTGTCAATTGGACGGGGCCTTGACAAAAAACAAAAACAGATTGTCGTCAAGCGCACCTGCAAACCGTGAAACTCGATGGGCAACCTGGCGGTTTCGCTGCCTTTGCCATGGCCCAATGGGTTTGTCTCCAAGAGGAATGGGGCGGTGTCCATCTGGAATCCCTTGAAATGCACCCCAAAAAAAAACAAAGACATGTAGTGTCACTCACAAAGTGGTCACCACATGCAACATGCACAAATCAGCAACTCAAAACCGGGAAGCAACAGCCCAAAACAAGGCAAGCCCAGGGGGGCCAAAAGGGACTCTTTGCAGGACGGACTGGCGACCCAATCCGCACGGAGATCCACTGTCTTTGGCAGCAAAGCTGTGGTCTCCCAATTCAAAGAGATCTTCGCAGCACTGGCCACACACACACACACCTGCAAACTGACGTTTTTTGGAGGAATCTCGTTTTGGGGCCCCTTTTGGAGTTCCATGTTAAATGAGGCACCACAAAAGTCGGTAATTCGAACCGAGCCGACACCACCGAAACCTCCCAAGATCAGTGCCTCCGTGCTGGAACAGCGTTCCTTGGGCACGCTTGGCGCTTGACACGTTTTTTGGTGAGCAAAACGTGCCTGGAAACCATACAGGCCCAAAACAATTAGATAAGGTTGTGTTAGCATGGGGTTGTGGGGTGCGTTGTTAGACAACATCGATGTCCCAAAACTCAAACACACCATAGACTACACCTTCATCTTGGATTTTGACACCGAGAAGTGTTCACTAGTTCGTCACTGTCTAAGACTGTTTGAAAGTGAAACGTGTGCTAAGGATACTTTAGGTATCCCATTGGACACAGGTACGGGACCTTGTGTAAGCCTGCAAAGGCCGCATCGCGTCCCCGGAAACTGAAGAGCCAAATAAGCGGCACGTACACAACGACTGCCGTTTCATGAACCTCTTGATCTTCATTCATGCTCACGCCGTCCGTCAGGCTTGCAGGAGCTGACAAGGACCTGTAGTTTGGACAAACCAATGGGCGTGGTAAAGTGTTCTCTGACTAAAGCCCTCGAGGGTGCGGGTCAGTAACAGGTTTCCTTGTTGAAAAGGGGCGCCTTCTTGGATCTTCGACCAAGTGAGTGCGGTGTGAAAGCCCAAAAACAGGATACACCTCCACCAAGCGGGGGACTTATAAATGGATTGTAAGCTAGGTTACTAACGAAAATGAGTTCCAACAAATGGAACGCCAAGGATGCTACACACATTCTTGTCCTTGGATGCAAGCTGGAACCCGTTTATTCGAACCCCCTAATGCCTAACTTGGCCGAACATCCAAGTTGGACTTTCCTTTCAAAATCTCCACGCAGATGAGCCTCCGCCCAGAAAAGGGCCGATGGTGACCCCCACGTTGCCACACACCTCCTGCAGCTCGCGTGCTTCGAAGGACCCACACGGCAAGGTTCGATCCCAAATGTCCAAGGATGTTGACCAAACAAAACATGCAGGGTGACTGTTTGAGCGTTTCACCCCATTGGTAATATAGTGATTCGACCCAGCTCACAAGGGGAGCAAGGTCAACCTCGTGTTTCAGGTTGATCCTGGAAAAAATAGGCCTTACGGATTACTCCCGTGCAGACTCCAAACTCCCATGCTCTTTTAGAGAAAGCTCTGCAACCCACTTTCCGGGTTCGAAGAAAATTAGTCTGCGCGGGCGCAATCAGAGATGTTTGCCACAATGGTCAAGACGTACTTTAGAATGGGCTGCACCCCCCAATGAAAGCTGCAACCGTTCCTGCCCTTTTAGTTCCATGCAAGCAGGAACCCTCAAAATGGAAGCTGTGTGCACTCGTTATTGTCCAGATTCCGGGGCCTGTTTGACAAACACGCCCTGGCTTGCAGCACCAATATTGAACAAGTCACAGGCGGAATCCCCCCCCCACCCCAAAAAAACACTTGGCGAAATCCCCCCAGAAAAAACAAACACACGCACACAGACACGCAGACACACAGACACACACAAGCGGTAGCAGGTACGCTCTTGAAGGCCCGTCCAGCGAAGGTGAAGCCTGACAAAACGTCCGCAAAGGCCGCAAATCGTAGCCCACTCGCAGGGCTCCGGTTTCGTTTGGAGTCACTTATCCAAGGTGCCTTCAAGAGACCCGAAACAGGTTGACCACGGTAGAACCTGTGGGTGTATCAAGGGAGGAGGCTAATCTTTTGGCCAAAGAACCACAAACCGAAGAACCATTGGACTCCTCCTTTTTGAAATGTTCGCCGGCTTCCCCGAATTAACCTTGGGTCTTATGGCAGGGCTTCTGAACTTAAAGTTGAAACCCCAAAACGGAAACCACCCCCGCGCCCCCTTCGTCCCTCCTGCAGCCCCACCACTCGGTTGAACTCCCCTTCGCCCGTGAAGCTTCGCGCCAGGCGCGTGCCTCGCTTCTGGCTGGCGAGCTTCAAGCGAGCGAGCGAGCGAGCGAGCGAGTGCTCGGGTCGCACGGGCACCCGCAAAGCCATGCGGTGCCCAGGGATTTGTTGATTTTTTATATATTTTTCGGGTGGAGATTTCAAAGACCTAAGTTTTCCAAAACGTCAGCTTCCATGATTGGTCCTGTCATGAAGATCCAAGTGATGTACCACTGCGGGAACTCCCTGAGCTGCCTGAGCTGCTCTTTAGCATGGCTGAAGCATCTTCTTCAAGCCAAGCCCTTTCCATGTCGAAGGTCCCCCCCCCCCCCCAGTTTATTCATCTTCCCATGTCCGGCATGGTACGCCCACGTCAACTTAGTTGTGGACAAATTCTTGAATACAAGACAGTCCTGAAGAAAGGCAACAAGCCCACGTGTGTCTCCTAGGGTCTCAATTGTGATCCTTTTGAACCCCTCCAAAAACTCGCCCTCTACAGTAGGTGGCTTCGCCAACAGTCGTTCCATCAAACGTGTCCATTTTCAGGCACCCTCTGAAACGGGTTCCCCCCCCCCCCAACTTCCCCAACCCAAAAACAAAACTTTTGAGCAAGTCGCTCGGTGTCCCTATTAAAGTTTAATAGGATGGTACAAGCGTTTGCCCAACTGACGGTGCTTAGTCAGTAGTATATGGAATACTTGAGAGTCAATTTAAAGCTCGAGCATCAGAAATGATAATGAAACAAACACAATCAAGCTAATCACGATAGTGCCAATTAATAATGATGGCAAACCCAATGGAAACAATCCTACCAATCAAAGTACAAGGCTGATTATAGCAATTGTATTGATGGTCATGACGATACTATGTATAGTATGAAGTTGATTGGTATGTTTACAGCCTGGTCCATTGTGAACGCAAAGAGACAAGGGAAATGTAGGTGTTCTTTTGGTTTCCGTTTCAAACCCTATTCAATAGTCAGGACACTCAAGTCATACTCAACTGACACTGAAAGGATCTACCTTCTTTGGGGTGACAACCCGTATGGCCATTGTTCGGTCAAAGCCCGGTATTTGGCCGCATTTGCCGTATGACTCTGCGTCCGTTTTCCCCCGGCCATTTGCATATACCCGTGTGGTTTTGCCCATCAGGGGAGTAAGGAGGGCTTTTAACCTGCAAACTTCACAATAATTTCAAAACATGGCATAATGATTGGATTCCCGAGTAAACGATTTTTCATCAGAGGTCAGTTCGCTCGTTTTACCCTCGGATCGGTGAACGCGCCAAAAATCACCGGATGGGTTTGACTCCAAATCTGGGAACCTTCAGAAAGCACAAAATCTCAAAACCCTCCAATTCCCCTTTAAACCAACCCCAAAAAGGGTCTCAAAGTCTAACACTCAAAAGGGGGTCAACACAAAAGGGTCGACCTTTTTGACCAAAAAAAAGTGACTCCGTCGCACGACGTCGCTCCACTTCCTGGGCGTTCCCGGCTGATGGAGGTGTAGATGGGAGCGGTGGCCAGGCCCTGCAGGGACCGCCAGAACATCCAGCCTGCGGACGAAAAGACGAAAAGACGAGAACACGACGTACAACCCACCCTCAATTCCAACAGCGGTCACTAGAAATCACATAGAGTTGCAATTTATTGTCGGGTTTGATTGAACATGCCACTTGAGTCATCAGTACTAAACTGGTCGGGACCCAGAACCATGAAAAAACAAAACAAAACATGGCGGCGAAGGCACGCGTTAGGATTCTCCAGTACTAACCTTCACCCAAATGGCAACTCAAACTGGTGAACGAGCTTTGGCTTTTGAAAGTGTTCTTAGGCAAGGCCAAGCGAAGCGGTCACTTGGGCCCCAAGCAAGCCTTCGAGCACCATTGGTCAGCCACGAGAAACGAAGTAGAACCCCTCCAATAAAAGGAGGGGGGGATGTTTTTCTAGGGGAACCTTCCATTTCCATTCTTCCAGGCGTCCGAATCTTTCTACAAAACAAACACCCAAAGCCCTGGGGAAACAGAGCCGTTTTTTGAAAATAACGATGGTTGAAAAGAATGAGGGATCCACCCCTAGAGCTTTTCTGCGAAACCCCACAAAAGAACACCCCCCAACCAAAATCAACCACGGGGTTTATATTCACCCCTTTCTGCGGACATCCAAGGTGCGGGTTTTTTGAGGGTGCCCTAAAAGAAAAACCCCGGAGCCCATGTTGGTTCCCGGTCCAAATCCGGAGAAACTGGCACAAACCCAAGTAGCCTCAACCAAACGGGTGCGAGTCAAAATAGGTTGTGGCACCTGACAAAATCATGGGGCGTTCAACTCTGTGCTTTCCTTTAAAAAAAAAAATGGCCTTCAACTCTTTGGCTTTCCTGTCAACCAAGGTAAAAAGGGTATATATCGCGCCCACAACCTGAAGGGGTAAGGAGGTCAAAAGGTAAAAGGAACCAAAGAAAAAAACTGTTGCAGGCGTCCGCCGCTTCGAGCTAAGTTCCAGCCCCCCACCTGCCACGGAGTCGGAGAGGCCGAAGCCCACCGAGGCCACTGCGAGCAAGAGCAGGCCGCTGTTCAGCATCGCCTCCACCCCGAACCTGTCGCTCGGCTTCCCACGTGGTTTGGTGGTTTGGCCATGGGTCAAAATCCAAATCGTACCCCCAGTGAACATCCCAATCCCACTACAATGGACCAAAATTGGTGATGCGCCTACCAAAAGGGTGCCACCCACAGCCGTTTGGAGTCAGCCCCCAATTTTGCCCCAAGGAGGCCCTGATTCACACGATCAGCTTCCGTCTGCTTGGTGGTTTGGAGCCGAATCGGTTTGGTGGTTCAGGGGGTTTCCCCTTTTGCCCTCCACAAGAAGGGATTCAAAACCTTCTTAGCCACCAATCCAAACAAGCTGGGAGATTTAAGCTGCTTGGCTCCATGAAGCTTCACTCAATGAGCTCCAAGAATGGGAGTCACAGGGTCTGCAGGATGCCTGATGAATGAGTCCGCACAAGGGCAAACCACCCACCCCACTCCCCCTTGTCCACAACAGTCCATGGAACTCTCGGAATTGTTGGCGCCTTCGCAAAGCATCAACCACGTCAATGTCCCCAGGACTTGCGCTGCATATGATCAACTCAGGGGGTGTATGATCGCGCGATACCAGCCATTTACCAACCATGCAGGGTGGTCATGCGGGCCGCCAAGCAACAGTCTTTCCGCTGGGTACTGGCAATCGCTAGGTTCATATCACCCGTCTTGGCTCTCGACAACTTGGGCACTGGGGTCATCCCAACTACCCAGAAAGCTTACCCTGAATGCACACAAATTGGGGGGCCCAGAGGCAAACAGCGGCCCAGAAGAACAGGCGGGCCATGGGAACTAAGGATACCAGAGCCACGAGGTCATGAGGGAACCTGTCAACCAGAAACGCGTGTTTTTGAGTTGTGGGGTACCAACCTGGCGGGAGTATCAAAAGCAAACAAGCAGCACGAAACAGAAAAGCTTGACCAATCTAGTCAAGGATTGTCCAACCAAAAGTTCACATACACAGGGTTCCAAATAAACTTATCATGTAAACAGCACCGCAATTGAAACTCAATGAACATGGATCCAAAAGGTGACGCTTTAAACCACCGGAGGAATGAAGGTTTTGGGCGTGGCGTCTGAGGAGAAAAGTTGGCAGATCAAAATAACTCACCAATGAACGGAACCTTCATCGGGGCAGTCAGTCGCAGAAACACCATCAGTCGCCATCTGCCTGGAAAAAGTCCATCCCTTCGCGGATGCCATGCAACTTAGCACCTCTAGACCCTCTTTGGGAATAGGAAGAAGTGGAGCCGCCAAAACCCATTGACTTTTGATGCCACATTTATCAAAACCTTGCTATGACCCCACCACTTAAACAGGATAGAGCAGGAACCTCTACTAAAATGGCCGATGGCAATCAGTCTTTAGCAATGGGGTTGATTTAGGGCTGCTCCAGCGACCGTTGCGCAAGGCCTAGGAAAGGCAAGAAGGAAATTCAACCAACGCCCTACCCTTCGACCCTTCGAGCATTGATCTAGGGGTTGATTCCCCATTCTTTTCAACCTTCGTTCTTTTCAAAAAACCAGCTATTTTCCCTGGGTTTCCAGAAGTTTTGTAGAAAGATGGATCACTGGAAAGAATGGGGAAGGTACCCCTAGAATTGATCATCCTTTACTTGGTACACCAAAACCATCGTTTCAGAATTCCTTGGCCGTTTTGGTGGTTTGGATGTTGGAGGGTACCTTTCCCATTTGGTTTCAAAAGGAACGGTTCAAACCCCACCAATCCAAACCAACCAAGGGTTGCCAAATGAATCAGCAGTTCCAGAAAGCCGTTTCCCGGGACGCTTTGTAGTGCCCGGCCTGGTCAGCATCCGGTCCATGGGCAGGTTGCCTGCCACCGGCTACGACGGGATCAGTGCGAGCGAGCCGAGCTGCCCAAAAAGGCGTCGCCACCCATGGTGGGTCCGGACAATCAAGAATAGCAGAAGACAACCAATATTATGCATAGGTAGAATACAGATGAACCGAGAAATGGCACGAATCTACAGAAGCAAAGCATAAGGAGAAACGCAAGAAACACATACTCCCCCCAAAGACCTGTAAAGTTGTTCCTTTTTGATGGTGGAGTTTCCTTATCATAATGGGAGCCTTGGATGAACAAACTGTTGGTTCATTTACCGGGATGTCCCATTTAGTTTCAGAGATGAATCCCTGAGTTTTCCTCGAAACACCAGCCAGCCGTGGCTCTCAAAATATTCCACGTGATTGGTTGCAACAAAACATGGGTCTGCGCACCGTTTTGGGGTTGCTTAAAAGGGATACCAAAGGGCTAACTACCATGTGTTGAAGCTTTTCACCTTTCAAGACACATGCCCATATGGAGGCAACAACGCTCACGTCAAGCAAATCTGAATGATATGCATAGGCGCTCCGTGCCGTGGAACCAAACTCAAAAGAGCCGTCGGCAGTCGTCCTTTCCCTGCAGCTTCTCTTGATGGTCGACGAGGAACTGCAAATCTCTTTCGTCGTGCAACACGAATCCATCGTGCGCCGCACTCACGAAGACGCTTGTCTGGAACGAATTCCAGCGTTCCAATCTTCATCTCTTTCAGGCGCGTGAAGCTCCTCGCCGATGAAGCGTAACATGCTTAAGCCTAGGCAAACTGGAACAAAAGTGACGGGATGGGCAACCGAACCTTTGGAATTCATGTTCGCTTTCCGAAGCCTTCTATAATGTGCTCCAGACTTGAACCGGATTTCCCGCTCACATGAGTCATCACAACCCAACCCAAAAACCATGTACAGAATCAGTACAGAATCGAAAAGGCGAATGACCGCACTTATGTAGAATTTGTATTCCCCCCTCTTGAACTTCAACTCGAATAGGTTTTGATGCTCACTTGAGGGCCACAATCATGCTTTCCACTGGGAACTAAAAAGACAACAGCCCGACCCAACCCGGCCCAGCGTGGTCCAACCTGTCCAGACAGAATTGAAAACTCGCTTGGCTGCTGAATTGCTCCTGGGACCCCCAGACAAACGTTTCACCTTGGTGAGGCGGTGGATTGTCTTCCCAAAAAGATATGACATATTTGTTCGGTTTCGGAACCAAAGAGCACGGACCACAATCATATTGGAACACAACTTGAATGAAAACATCGCTAAGGGACCCTCATCATGGAACTCGGAGTTGCTTCCCTCGAAATTAGAGAGTCGCCACAAGTGCACGTCTTCCCAAGCGGGTGCAAGTCTCTCAAAGCAGATGGAGACTCGTGGCAATCTATCTGAATCAAAAAGACTTCAAAAGAAACCCGGGTGAGGGGAAGTGCGCTTTGATAAGCAGGGATGAAATCTCTCTTTTTAGCGTGACAACCTGTCTCCGTGTGAATGGTGCTTTCTTGCAAAAACCAAAGGACACAAACTATGTAGGGCGCCCCATTCGCTTTTGACAACTGTTCAACCCTGACCTCAGGCTGAAGCTTTTGCGTCGTATCAACCCATAGATTCGGAGCCGGTGGAGCCGGTGCAGCCGATATCGACCATGAGTGACTAGTGGGGGCCACGAAGGACCGGTAGTGGGAATGTCTCCCCTTGCTACTGTGGATCTTTTTTTGGCGCTTTTCTCTTAGTGCATAGATCACAGGTGGATCCAGCGTTGCACGGCACCGGACATGATCGTGTGACCGAGCAACAGAGGGCGCTCACCTACGGTGAGCGGAAAAGAAAATAAAAAAGGCCTCACGGCGAATTACCATCAAGCCAAGCCGGGTGAGCCCCGGGTTTGGCTACCACGAGGTCCAGGGGGGACCTCAAGCTACGGGTAACTCCATCGGGTCGGATGAAGTACCGGCGCAGGACCGAGGCAGCCTCCAATCCAGAGGTGAGTGCCGGTCTCTGCAAGAGGCCGGGTCTTGGTGTGGAGTGCCCGATTTTATGTAGGGACCATGAGGCGGTGCCAGTGCCACAAGGCCACATTGAAGTTAAGGCGTTTCTGAGTCTGGCTTAAGAAACGTGTCCAATTGTAACTTTGCGTGGCAAGGCTACGGTCATCACAAGAGTCGGCCTCAATGGAGAGGTCACGGAGCTCCCACCTTGCCGGGTCCCTGGAGGTGGCCGGGGCAGGTATGAGATTATGATGTCTTCGCCAGCACAGCGTGGTGGGTCAGGCCATGCGAGGCTGTTCCTCCAAGCGAGGACCCTCCAAAGAAAGATTGCACCAAAATTGGAGGATAGGATTTTCTCCCTGGACAGGTCAATAGGGAGATGAATGTACGCGTGCGCAGCAACAAGGTCGGAGAGGGAGGGAAGGTTATTCACCTCAAATTCTCTCTTGGATTTGGTAGCTGGCTTGCTATCTTTGACAGCAACAAGGGCAATTTTACCCAGGTAGGCAATGAAATCGTTGTACACCTGCCTGGTAGCTGCATGCTTGGAGGCCGCACGTTGGTGTGCAAGGAACAAGGGCCTATGCTGATGTTGAACGCAGTGCTTGGCAGCCTGATCAGCCAGGTCATTCCCTTTGGCTAACCATCTTTCCCGGGGGCACAATAAGGAGTTGATGTCTTGGTGGGCTGCAACTTTGGTAATGGTGATGCAGCCAATTGGCCGAGCAGAAATTTGGGCATCGATTTGGGACAGGATAGGGTCAATGCGCAGCTTGGCCTTTTTCCCTTCACCAAGGCAGTCCAACAGGCCTTGGACTACGGAGACAACTGCGCTACAATCGCAGTAAAGGTGTGCAGACCAAGTATTTTGGAGTGCCAACAAAATAGCAAACAGCTCGGCGCGAAAACTATTCTGCTCCAAACCGGGTACCAGATCACAGGACACAACCCTACCCGATGGCCAGTCTGGCTCGAGCTGAACCACAGCACCAGCTGCGAGGGTATATGAATGGTCCTCCTGAAAGAAAGCCGACCCATCAACAAACAGGTGGGTGGAGCTAGAGTTGGGTGCAGGGGTTTCACAATAGGGCAAAGTTCTACATAAAGGCGCGCGCAGGGTGTGGGCATCAGGGTCTGCCGGGCACAGCGCAAAGGTTTGGCAGGCAAGGGGCCACTTCTTCACTGCCCGAATGGTGCTGGTGTGGTTGGCGCGGATGTGATCAACCGCAGGGCAACGCATTATGCGGTGGAACTTGCTGTCAGGCTCACCGCACAATGGGCAGGAAATGTCGGTAGGTTTATACTTGGCCTGAAACTCGTGGGTGAAGAATTTGCCGTTCATGATGGTGCCAATGAGGCTTTGCTCTCTGGGGCTCACACGCGTCATAGCCGCTACCGCGGCATAAGGATCAAAAGCACAAAGCTGGAAGTCCTTACGCGTGCAGCATTTTCAAGTGGCATATTGGATCCAAGCCGGATAAAGCTGCTGCCTGAGAGTTTTGATGGTGCAGTCCAGCCATTCGATGGTGAGGTTGGAGTCAGGGTGGACCAGGATCCTAGGGTCCTCAGCAAACCTCCACCCGAAGCGTTTCAGGGCAGTCACAAGGCTCCAAACCTGTCCTTTAATCTTCCCACTGGTGTTGGAAAGGAGTGTGGAGAGGACGTGGTCGGTTCGCTCAGGGAAGGCGCGGGTGTACTGCCGAAAGGACCTAAGGCGAATGATCACATCTTTCCACTGTGGGTCAAGCCCAATGTTTTGGGTGTTGAGGGCAAGCCAGGAGTTGGTGCCAGGCCCCTTTTTTCCGAGGGCTGCCGCAGTGGCGGTTCTGATAGAGTGAAGTTCACTCTCGGTGACGCTGTGGGCACAAATGCCATAGGTAGCCTTGGCTATGCCAGCGGTCTGCGCCATGGTGGCACGGAATTTGTGTGGGATAGGGGGCCCTACGAACTTTATCCAACTTAACCCTAGCGGCCTTGATCCTTTTCTTGAAGGTGGCCTTATGAACTCTTTTTGAATATGACATGTGAACTCCAAGGTCTTTGGCATGAAGTTTGATGGGTACCTCACCCTCGTCGATGTAAGTGCCCTTGAGTTCACGCCGGAGTTTGGCGGAAGTCGCCCAAAGCCAGCTTTTGGGTGGGGAGATTTGCATGCGGAGGGAGTGAACAAGTTTGACAACATGGTCAAGGCCGGCACGGAGCTCTCCTGAAGAGTCTGAGATCAAGGCCCAAGTGTCGGCATAGCACGCAACTCACAGGCAGGTGCATTGGCTTGGAGGACGCAACCAACCCAATAAGCGATGGCGAGCATAAACCACGCCAGTGGTGGAGCCGGAAATGGGGCCGCAAGTGCGGTTGATCTCGAAAGTTCGTCTCATGCATTTCATCATGCTGCCGAAAGCGCGGAGGCATTTGTCGGGTACCCCCATCTTTTTGAGCAGTCTGAGGAGAGGACCTCTGGGTATCGTGTTGTAACATTTGACTAAATCAAGAACTGCACCGCATATGGGTTGCTCGAGGAGGAGGGCTTGCTCAACCTGCTCGGCGGTCCACATTGCAATCAAGTCAGCACCCACTCCCTTAGCGGGCCCCGCTATGGGGGTGGGGATGACCTTGATGAGCTGGGCTGTGACCTGTTCACTTCTGATTTTGGCCCAAAGGCGATAGACCCGACAAAGGACAGTACTGGGCCTAATATCAAGGGGTGATTGCGGCGCGTCACCCTTGTTTAGGCACATCGTCCTGGCAAGAGTCCAGATGCGTGGCCAATCATGTACAGCCGCGTGAGCATATAGAGGTTGTGGTCCGGCTGACGTCGGATGTCGAGGGTGGAAAAACCACAGACCCCTCTACCACTGGCAATGGCCGTGTGGTGGATGGCACGCCGGACATCCGCGACACAGATGTCGGGTACATCAAATTGGGGGCAATCCGGTATTTCATTTAGGAGCGCAGCAGCGTCATTCCACTGAGGGTGTTCAAAATTGGCTGGGTCTCTCTGAAAAAAGGGGGCCCAAGCATCACGAGTCTTGGCATGCATGGCACTGGTGTCAATGGTGACACAGTGTTGTGTGATGGTGCGGACACGATTCCGCAGGCGAAGTGGCTTGTCAAGTACCACATATGATGCATGGGATTGGAGGACAGTGGCATCCTGACCTTGAAAACTAACAGGCAAGTTTTCCGTAGAATCGTGGCCTGCAGGCAGAGGGATGACGCACCTGCCACGCTTAGGCCACGCAACGTTTTTGACATTGGAAGTTTTGGTGTAGTGCACCTCGGAGAGGGGAGCAGCAGGGGCATCTCGGACCTCGCGGAAGGCTCGCTTAGCACCTTTTGCGACATCGGCAGCGATCTCCATCCGCTTGGTCGAAGCACGCTGGATGAATTTAATTTTTTCGGCACGGGTGTGGGCTTCATAGAAGCCATTGCATATATTTTTTACTGCACCGCTGGCATGCGGGAGTTGCGGGTAGGGTAAGCCTAAGTGGGTGGCAACCCAAAAAGGGAACCCCTTATGGAAACCGGTGGCGCCGAAGTAATGGCCGCCCAGAGGTCGGCAATAGCACGGGAGGCACTTTCACTCGGTCGTTTCTCCCAAGCCTCAATTTGTCGGACGCAGGACTGGAGCCTGCGCAGTTGCCTAGTGTGCCGGCGGGACTCAACATCTGGCTGGTCCAGGAGTGGCTCAAAGTCACCATCCCTTGCAAGCCTAGCCAAAGGGGTTGTGGGAGGCTTAGGTTTCACAAAGAACTTGTCAGCACGGCCAAGGTGGTGAGGTTTGACAAAAATGCGATGGCCTTCAGCATCAACGGCACTCTCAGAGAGGGTTTATTGCGCCACACGCGTCCAAATTTTGGCCGCTTTTTGGGTGTCGGCACAGGCAAGTGCATTTTCAAACTGTTCTGCAAAGCAAGACCATTTGGCGTCTGCGCACTTGTCAGCAAGTTGCTGGTCAATCAAGTATCGGTCGAAACTCGGACGCAAGGTCCAAACTGGCACTGTGCTGAGAATGTTGCGTACACGAAAAATAGCCGAAAGCAGCGGGTGGGCATCAAATTGAAAATTAGGCCGGGTTCGGCATTCAACAAGATGCGGCGCAAGGGCCGCGTTGGCCAGGATGTAGGAATACCGGGTGGCATCCTTGCATGTCGGTTCTAGGGAGTGTCCGTGCAACTGACCAGAGAGGGCGGCGCAATCCTTCCATCCAAGGTTGCAAGGGCGTTCCATGTGGGGATGTCGTGAAGGTCACAATTGAAATCACCAATAATAGCAACCGGACCGTTGTGGTTGATGGCCCTAAGGGCAGCAACATCAAATAAACGATTGGTGATGGCAAGGCCGTCAAAATGTGAGTGTCTGTTGAGAGTGGCTCCATAAATGCTAATGATCTTAATATGGTGATGCTGATCAAGGGCCACAAAGGCTTCGGCATACCGGTGAGAGTTCGCAATATCAGAGGGCAAGGCTCCGAATGGGGAAAGTGGTTACTATGGCACTCCCTCCAGCCATACCCCTCATTTTGGCACTGCTACGAGGAAAAGGTTGAACAGGAGGGGACCAAACAACATTGAAATCCTTAGCACGGAACCTAGAGGCAATGATGGATTGGGCTTCTGCCGTGGCGGCAGTTTCCGAAAAACCGTAGATCCCACGCCCCCAAAGGCAAACATCAGGCTCTTTGCCCAGCAAGGTGGTGGGGTTGGCCGTGCCAATGACAAGCCTATCTTGCTGTGAATCGGTAGGAAAGGGTCCAGGGTTGAGGGCCTCACCAAAAGGCACAAATTCAAAGAAGGGGTCCGGTCGAAGAAAAGGGGCAACACCGCACCAAGGTGAGAAGTCCGTAAGGGGGAATAACCCGGGAAAACCCCAGCACAGAAAACCAGGTACGAGCACTAGCAGGCTCATTTTTCTTCGGACCGAAAGTTCCGGGTAGCACCAGGCTGTTCTGGTCGGCCGGGTTCGGATAAAGGCGTGTGGTCTGCCCTTAGTGGCACGGCGTGGTAGCCACAGTGATGGATTGCAACGGGCAGCAAGGGTGTCACTCACAGCGTGGGCAAGGTTTCTGACACAGCTGGCTGCACAAATCATTATCGAGATGCAAGAACGAATTAAGGCTGGGAGATGGTAGCAACCAAGAGTGGACACACTTCGAGGAGGCAGGTCCACCATCCCAGCACATGCTGCTGGGCCACACACTGCCCTGCGTTTTCGCTTCCTGCGGTTTCGACTGAAACGACAAGGTGCAAAGCCATACCTTCTCTTCCTCCTAGGAGCGCGAACACGAAAGGAGGTGCGGCAAACCACAAGAGAAGGTGCGGCAAACCACAAGAGAAGGTGGAATGGACACAAAGCAGGGCGGAGGCCCAACATGATGCAGAAAAAACCAATAATTAGGGTAATACTCCGGGCTGAGAGCCCATAACGAATAGTATCCCACAAATGGGGGGGATTGGAGTCCTTCGTACACTTGCAGGTGCCATCACACCCAGAGAGGGTACTACACGTAGCAATCAGAAGGATGGAATGCAATATGATTTTGATGGGTGGCATGCAAGATATTGACTTCATGCAAAGGTTGCGCGTCACAAGAGTGACCCACTCGGTCATGCAGGCAGTGACGAGAACAGCCCAAGAGGCCGTGTCACAGTATATGCAGCGGCAAGCGTGCAGACAACACGACAAACAGCAAATTATTGCCCAGATCAAAGGGCATAGGCAGTTGGCTATGGTGGTGGTGGGACGGCACAAGGTCCCTAGTCACGACACTTTGCGGGCTTTGGCATGCGGGTCGGATTCGAGTTTGTCCAGGCGGGCACCCAGGTTTTCCTGCATGTTTTGGAACAGCTGGCTCATCTGCTGGAGCAGGCTCTGGCCGCTGGCCTGGACTGCTTGCTCAACCTCGGCGAGCTTGGTATTGGTGTGAGTCTGTCTGTCACCGAGGGCACGGAATTCGGCGGCAGTGGCATCACGGAAATTCTGGAAGTCGGTTTTGGTTTCTTCGACCGACTTGGCAACGGTCTCGACTTCCTGCGCCTGCAACTGGAACTTCTCATCCACCATGGCTTGGAGTTGGTGAGCGAGCTCAGTCTTGAGGTCCGCGAACCTGGTCGTGGCTGTGGAGGCGGACGATCCAGCTTCGCTCGGTGGCTGCATAACAGTGCACTGGACGGCCGGTGGGCCGAGCTTGGGGATGACAGTGTCGCAGGGCTTTTTCAACGACACAACCACAACAAAGCTACCATTGATGCACAGGTGACGGGCCGGTGGCGTGTCCTTGGCTGTGATGAGCCACGTTGACTGGTTGACAGGCCTAGCCCAGTTGTGCGAGGGCAGCGGTCAGCGCTTCCGGGGTTGTGTGATCGGTAAGGTGCTTGAGATGGAAGGCCTCCGAGTCCGGCGGCATCTCACCTTCTGGGACGAACAGGCTTTCGGGGGTGAGGATTTTGCGCACCTTCTGAAGGTTCTCACGCCTGCAACGGAGGGCAAAATGCTGCGAGTGCTCAACGACACCAAGGATGTTGGGGTCACTGGTTGCTTTAGCAACGGCATCATCCAGGGAGGCAGTAGGGAGGGGAATGATGGCGAAGGCTTGGTGCGGCTTCTTGTCGTCTCCCTTTGGTGTGAGGAAGATGCCCGCATTTCCAAGGCAGGTGGGAACGAGAACGGGTTGATCCTCGTGATTGAACGCAGGAGCCATGAACTGCTGAAGCCCTGCAATTGGCTTGGTGTCAACGATTGCAATGGCCAGAGGGCCTGCGCTGATGCGGCTGGCAGGCAGGAAGGCTTCCGCTGCGGCCTTGGTCATGATGGCGAGGCCCTCTTGGTCAGGGCCGAATCTCTCAGGGGCAAGGTATGAGACCTTGGATCCTTCTGCTTTGAAGGACTGCAGGTCGATGGTGATGGTGGCCACATCAATGGCTCTGATGCTGTTAGCATGGGAGCTGCTGGACCCCTGGCTGGGGCCCTCGGACTGCTTGCGCTTGCGCAAGGTCTGCTGCCACTCCTTCAACTCGGTCGGTGTGATGAGACGGATCTTGGCGTCCGATGCAAGCTTTTTGAGCGAGGACCAGAAATTGTGGCTGGGCTCATGCAGGTGGGTGCGTAGGTGAGCCGGATCAACGTTGCTGAGGACACACGCAACACGGGCCGGCAAGGCAGGTTGAGGCACGCCACGGTCGGCAAGGGCCTTGGTCACGACCTTACGTATATCATCATTCTTGGGTGGTCGCTTGGCACCCCCTTTGACTGGACAGGCACGGAAATCCAGCACCTTCTCGGGTTGGGTGCATTCGACCCTGGTGCGGGGGTCAATGTGCTTGCCGTCCTCCATGGTGAGGAAGGATTGGATTTGAGGTACGATGCCGCTCCAATTTCCATGAGCGTAGTGCCTTGCTGGAAGGACATCTCACTGGCTTTGGATTGGAAGGGGCTCCGCACCCATCTTTTGACAAGGGTGGTGTCCTTGTCTGGAGCAGGATTGCCGACACAGGGGATGGCAATGATGGCAGCCCTTGGATAAGGCTTGTGTGATTGGAAGGTCAACTCACAGGTGGCACGCAGAGCCAAGGCAACGGGCAGCTCCGGATTGCACACAAAGCCGTTGACAACAGGCAGGATATCCATTGTTGCTGCGATGTCGGGCAGGAGAAGGCGGATGGCAACAGAGAGGTGCGTATCGTCACGCACAGCACAGGTCCTAACGGTAGTCCACACAGGGTGCCTGATTGCAAGGCGGATGTGTGCCTCACCAGCTGGCTTGGATGCGTCGGAGCAAATCGGTGGGAAAGGGAGCTGTGGCATGTTACACATCTGGACTGGAAGGGCAGGCAGTGGCATCAAGGCAGGGCTGATGGACACCTGGAAGCTGGTTCCCGAGCGAGCAAGGACAAACTCAGCCGGGTGAGCCAGGACCCCATCTTGTTGCGCAACCAGCTGGCTGCAGAGGACCTTTGCATCTCCTGCGACTAGCGCAAGAAGGTCTCTGACAGTCCATGTTGCATCAACCATGCAAATGCGTCCAGTGCCAAGGATATCAGCCGTAACGACCCTGGCAAACTCACGGAAACAGACACGGATGCAGAAACCCTTGAGGTCACTAGGCACCGAGTAAGCGATGGCTTTACTGCCGTTGACCTGGATGTCAGCGCAGTGCTCCGCAAGGATGTGTGGCAGGCTGATACGGAGCATGTCACAAACGGATGCACCGTTCCTAACCCACTGGGTAACCGCCCAAACGCCCTTATCATGTAGGATGCGGCACGGAAGAAGCGAGGGCTCAGGAATGGGCAAAGAGTCCCAGGAATCGACTTGCTGGGACACCGGGATCGTGCCAAACGTGATGTGACCAAACTTGGGCATATCAACAGCAAGATCTTTTCCACCACTGAGAGCAACACATCTGGGTGATGCTTTGGGCACCACACACTCACGCAATGGGTAGGCGATGCCCCAAGTGGTCTCGGGTTCACAGGCACGAGGCAGTGCGGCGGCTGAGGTCTTGCGCAGCTTACGTGGTGGTTCAGAAACATGGGGGGCCGCACTAGGCTTCACACACTTGTGGGTTGGTCCCTGGTGCAGCCGCAGGGGCTGGTGCACGGACGGGTCACCATGGCATTCTTCACGTTCGGTGTGCAGGGCCACATGCACTGGTGTCGGGGAGTCACAAGGCTCAATGGGGTCACTGGCTGCGGATGGCCTGGGGACAACACTGCTACGGACATGCTGCAGTGGGGTCTGCAAGGCACACGTATCAGGAGCGCACATAGGCCCCTGCTGATCAGGTCCGGGGAAAATGCTGGCAGGGAGTGAGGTGCTGGTGCAACTGTTGGATGTGGTTGGGAGAGGCTGGCTGTGGGAGCACAGTACGGCACCAGGATGCAACTGGGACGTCGCTTGAACGCACGGTGTGGGCTCAGTATTCTCCTGGATATCGGCATCCAGGAATCTTTGCCTAGAGGCTGCGAGTGCAAGCTGTCTGAGACTGTCGATATCCCTGATGGTGTATGTACATCCCTGGGTCACGCAGATGGCCCTTGAGGCCCTGATCTTCTTGGCGCAAACCAACTCAATGATACTGGCCAACTCCGTGTCAGGTGCAAACGGGGAAGCGTGGCTGAGGATGACATGGGTCCTACAAATCTGCAGTGCTGCATGGGGCCCAAGCATTTTCCAAGCCTCATCGTGGTCACAGGGAAGGACAAGGTCAAAGGGCTGGGCGAGGCGTGCAGCAAGTTCTGTCGGGCTGAAATACCTGCAGGCATCTAGGGATTGGTCGAACCACAATGGTGTATGGAGACCCTTTTCACACAGGAGGCTGGGAGGGAGCCGATGCTGTCCACCATATGACGCCATGATCGATGGCATGTGCTGGTCTGGGCCAATAGCACGCGCTCGGACTGCACTATCCGCTTTGCCCACAGCAATGGCCTTCTTGGCCCAAGAGGGCAACATGCGTGGCCTGTCTGCGAGACAGAGAGCACACTCCTATGGGCCATGTTGCACACGTTGGGGTTCAACAGGCAAACACCTTGTTCCACCGCCAGCTTCCAAGAGACCCAAGTGGGAACCTCCACATAGATCTCCTTGAGCTCGCCGCGCGTCAATGCTTTCCAGGTGACCGTGCAACTCCCGGAGTCGTGCACGCCCTTGAGGGTGAGGAAAACAAACGCATCCATGGGACTCTGTCGCGCCTAGGCACCACTGGGAGGTGTCCCTTCAGCCGAAATGCCTTTCTTGCTACTGTGGATGGCCGAAATCCTACACCGTCAAAGAACCCTGGAATGATGATTCCCCTGCAAATACCAACAAACTATGGTTTCCCATGGATTCAAAGTGGTGCAGGATTTTGTCCCTCCACAGTATGGAGGAGTATTGCATACGCCCTTAGTTCATGAGTTTGGTTACCATCAATGATTGCTGAATGATGGGATAGTAAGGCGCTTTTGTGGGTATGTATCAAAATAGGGTGATGAGTGTTTCTCCTTTGGTCTGCCTTCAAAAAAGGCTGAAACAAATGGTTCCTCTAGAAAACAGACGCGCACACACAGGCACACACACACACACACAGCCAACTCCCAAAGGACGAGCCAATTCCTCCGTCATTTTGTCCCATGGCATTTCTTGCATCGCTCCAATGGGTCTCCCAAATGGAAGGATCCGCTTCCAATTCTCTCCCCACATCCAGCTAGGGCATCCAGGAATTCCAGCGCGTCCGTTGCCTACGAAGCAGGCGCTGGGCATCGCCGCGAAGATGAGGCCCACCGTGGCAGTGCTGGCGCCGCCTCGTTGCACGAGAACGGTCGGGATCCGCCGCCGGGTCCCGAGCTGAGCCAAGGAAAGAGCTTCACTTAAAAAGACGAAGCCCCCATTTGGCTATGGGTCAAATTCAGTCCCCGGTGAACATCCGATTCAATCCCCACTAAAATAGGTTCTAAAATGGGGGCACCTACCCCGAAATGGGATTTCATTGGCTTTGACAACCACAGCCTTCCCAAAGACGAAGCCCCCAGTTCAAGGGGTTCCCCGACATGGGAGTTTAATCTTGGGAGAGAAGTGGCCCCGAACCTATGCGGTCTGATGCGATCTGCCAGAAACACGAAGCAGCACTGGCAAACGTCTTTGCTTGTCTCGACAGTGGATGGACCAAAAACCTGCACCAGTTGGCAGCGTTGGTGTTGGTCCATCCCAACTAGTGCAGGATTCTGTCCAAACCAAGAGAATGCCAAAATGTTCTATGAGCGAGTCCGAATTTGGAACACCCATGTGAACCTTCTCAGCGAATTACAAAGAATCGCCAAAACAGGAGAAAGCATACCTAGGGAAGCAGCTTTCATTCATGGGAGACCTTGATGTTGAACCACAAGCCTCGTACTGTTGCGATTTCATTTCTGGTGTGACTACCTTTGGCGGAACCCCTTTTGGACGGTGACAAAAAAGGGAAGCCACGCGGGAATCGGCCAATTTCGGAGCTCCCCGATCTCTTGCAAACCCATTCTTCCCTTGCCAAGCCGCACGTCTCGCGCGCATACATCTGGAAGAACGGGCTCATCCTGCACAGGATGGTTGCTGGCCATTCGTGGGCCTTCGCCAGTTGTGTTGGACATTGCCCCGGAGCCAAGGTGGAAAAAGTGAGCACGAGGCCGAAAGAAGGTGAGTCGGGGGTACGAGGGAGAGATGGATGTTCCGGGATCTGGGCAAGTTAGTAACCCTGGTTATACAAGGCACCTTGCGAGCTTCCCAAGTGGTTTATCATCAGGGTAGCCCTTTAACTCCCAAACCTACGGAAAACAATGGGGTGTGGTGTGTTGGAGCAGTCTGGAGTAACTCACCTTTTGCGGGGATGCACCCATGTGACCCAGGTCACCAGAACGGGTCTCCACAACCCCTTTGCAAAGCAAGCGTGGGTTCCATACCTCCCACCCTCTTCGAACTTCCATACCATGTTGCCCGAAAGCTAGTCTACCAATGGACGCCCAAAAGGGTACCAACTTCAAAGGCCATGCTGGATAAGAGGCGCAAATTTGCCTGGCCAGGGTTGCACGTAAGTGGGGCTGGTCCAACCCACCACGTAAGTGGGCTTCCCTGAATAATTATCGCAGAACCCATGGTATTTGAATTTGGGCAAACGCTGTTGCATTTGAATCCTTTTTGGGTTTGTATCCCTTGGAGATGCCCAACGGAAACCACTGATTTTGAGGTTTCCTTGGGCAGGAGGGGTGGGGGGGGGGGAGACAAGCCTAGTTAGTTTGAGGAAACCTGATTTTCCCTCAAAACTCCTATCAATCAACCAATATGCGTATCAATCAATCGCGGGTTCCCGCTATAAGGAACGAGGCAAAGGCCTTTTTCGGGGGGTAGCGTTTGAAGGGGAAACACCCGCACGCACACGCACACACACACACACACACACACATAAGTCTTTCTCGGGGATGGAAGAAGGAGGTTGATTGGCGGGGTTCCTGGTTTGTGTGAAAATGGGTGGGAGCCCTTTGGAAAATCGGTGGTGCCGCCTTTTGGTTCCCAACACAAGCTCCCCACATTTGATGAGATTCCATGTTTGGGTTGCCACTGGACGTTTTGGTTGCCACCCGTTTTAGACGTTTTCCTGCCAAAGGCGCTGGTAGATCATTGCCATGGACAGGAAGTAGGCGCCCAGGCAGCTCACCAGCGTCATCCGTTTCTCTGCGCTCAGCAGCCCCATGGCCGCTTCTTCGCACGCTCACCGCGCGAAGGCGAAGCGCGCGCGTGAGCGCCCAGTAAAAGCGGCTGGGCTCTTTTTGGCCGAAAACGACCGGACGTGGTTTGGGATAAAGCCCAAGGTATGTTTTGTTTTGTTGGGGGGGTGGGGATACCGGGATACTGTGTCTCCCCTTTCTGGGCACCTGTGTGTGTGTGTGTGTTTTTTTTGGCTGCTCGGGTCTCTGGAGCTGGGGGCGATGGGCTATTCCAGAGTCCGCTTGCTTCACACCGCCCCAGAAAAGCGGGAACAAAGGGGACATCCTGCCCACCTTCGGTTCGTGAGCGGCATTCCCCATTCAAGATATTGACCTCCGAATGGCCGATGTCCTTTTGGTTTCTTCAATACCAACCATAAAACCAAAGTCTAACCAAAAAATCAACCCCACCCATGACCCCCAAAATGGTGGCTTTCGTTTTGTGTTTCCTTGGGTCCAAACGGCAGCGCGAACAGGGGCATGGAAGTAGCAGATCGAAGCGACGAACGGTTTCAGCCGTAGTTTGTTTCGATCTTCATCTAAACAAGGGACAAACAAACGACCCAAAAATGAATGAAAATAGCCAACACATGGTGGTTGCCCCATTGAGTTCTCTTCAAACCAACCCACAAAGCACACACCCATAAAGACTGGAGACTCCAGCGCCCGAAATTCGTCTCTTGGCAAGCTCTTCGGCTCTTGCAGAGGAAACCAGCTGCTTTCGAGGAGCAATTCTCGTCGTGCCATGTTCGTGATCCTCAGCCCTCCGAGTCCGTAATTGGAGCGATAGACCCAGCCCCAAGTCAATCTGCCTGCAAGGCGAGCCATTGCAACCTCGTGTGCCATAACCCTTTCAGCTTTTAAGGGCCCCATGGCTCTAAGTCAGAGCCTTGGATTGTGCCGAACTCTCCCCGCTCCTGGGAATGGAACACCCAAAGCCGCGAAAGCCGCGCATTCGGTTTCCATGCGGTGCAAATGGTATGGTTGGAAAAGGAGGCCTGCACTTGGGCCCATGCGGGCGTGTCAAACATATTGGGGACTCAAGACAAAAAAACGTCGTCTCAGATGCTCGCTCACAGCCACAAAAAGAAAGCATCAAAAACCACAAGCCTATCTAAAGCTACGGACAAAGTACGGGCGGGGGAGGCAGCTATTGACATCTGAGAAGCTCAACCCCTCTGAATGGATGGCTTCGACAAAGCAAGGGCTCTCAAATAAACGTACCAAAATGGCACCTTGGTAAATGGAACCAAAGACTAAAACCTGCGTAACCCTATTGAATGTTGAGCCACACCCTTCTATGAAGACTTCCCAGAAAGGAAACCTTCTCCTCGTTCTGCAGTTGCCTTTGTCCCTTTGTAGCCGCCCAAACCGGGGCGCTGCCAGCTGCTTCCCCCCCACATAATCTTAAGAAGAAACAAAAAGTGGCTGGCAGCAGCCAAAAAACGGTTTTGATCGACCCCCCCCCCCCCGCCAAACCGGAGAACCCGAAAAAAAGTCCTGAACCCCGGCCCAAGAGGCGCACCAGCTTCTCCCCCGACCAACCACCCCCGTTCGTTTTGCCCGAGCTCGGCCCGAACAGCTCATCCGGGAGCCCAGGCCCCGAAGTGCGCAAAGTCCAGGGCTGAAGGGAGTCAGGGAGGGTGGTGTTGTTTTTGTTCCCCCACGCCCGGGTTTGATATGGCTCTACAACTCTTGATGTTTGGTTGCAGAAAAAAAAAAAAAAAACAACTTTTTGCAGCCCCAAGAAAAATGAAGAGAACCAAAACAAAGTGCTTTTGGGGTGGTCTTCAACATCGGGTCCCCAAAGTGGCGACGGTGTCCTTGTGGTCTCCCGAGAAATACCCACTCAAGAGGGGTCGAAACACCATGTTGAGCAACACCCATATGTGGGCACAGAGATGGCGAGAGGATACAAACGGACAGAGTTTCTTCTACGCGCCGCAGGCTACAAAAAGGAAAACGAGGTTCCAAGCACGCTTGTCCAGCCTAGACACCTCACCTCACCAGAAGGATGTTCATCTACGGCCATGAAAAGGTGATGCTTGAATCAAGAAACCAGGAAATACAAGGAACCTAAAATTAGGAATTAGGTCAAGCAGCTTCTTAATGGCCGAGCTTTTTCAATCAGTCCTCAAACACCTGGTGACAAAATGAGTCTACCAAAAAGTTCGTGGTCTTACACTTGCTGTGGGGTCGCTGTGCGAAAGCGAGTTTTATCCCTCGTATCCTGCATCCATGCTTGAGCACAGTACTGTTCCTTGACCAGCAGCTGCTTTGCCAGCCTTTCAAGACACTTGGGCACACCTGCTGGTTGAAGGTACCCTTTCTATTGGGTTTTTCAGGAAAACAACAGGGACCACCATTTCTTGGGTTCCGTGTTTGACACACTCCTTTGTATTTGGGTGTCTTTTTGCCGGGGACCCCCGAACATGCTGGTTCTGCTTGAGATGAAGATCGAAGAAAAGCTGCCCTGTGGTCCCGGTGAAGGAGAAAATTTGCGCAGCGACTCCGGTCAGACAAGAAGCGAAGTCAGGGATCTTAGGATCTGAGCTCCAAAATGGAGATCCTTTTCTTGCGACGGTTCGATAGGCAGGGAATGAGAAATGGAATGACCCCAAAGCCATCCCCTATAGTTTCCTGTAAGGGGAATCCTAAGCTTCGTTCCCAAAAACCCGGGCCATTCCCTGCTGAGCACTAGCAGGTTTTGGTGTCCCTCTAAACCAACCTGAATGGGCTAGCCTGAAGAAAACATAACGCCACATGTTGCGAGTGTGTATTGGAGATTGTCTTGCAGTCGCGGGATGCGATCAAAGCGGAATCAGCCAACAAAGATGTGTGTGCGTGTTCTTCCCGAAACTTCTAGTTGCTGGAAGGGAGCTTTTCCCTGTTGGTCGAAGTGACTCCAAGAAACGCTGGCAAGACAACTTGGTCTTGTTTCTGCTTGCATGCAGGCACTTGGAGGAGCCAGTGAGTTTTTGAAGTTAACTGCACATGCCTCGCAGGAAGCAACAAATATGGAGGTTTGGAGTCTAAGCCTCCACATCGGCAAAATACATCATGTTCACTCCCGACTCACCCCCCTCCCAAAAAAAAAGAATAACCACATATATGCAAAATTAAGGGAGGCTCTCTTTTGAGTGGCTTGCTATCCGGAGGCCACTGAATATTCCTTGTTGGCTTCACTCCTCAGGGCCCGCCCGAGGCCGAGACCGGCCCCACCGGGGCTCCCGCCCACGGCGCGGCTGTGGCCCCCTTCCGCCAGCGCCGGGGCTTCCGTGTTGGCCGCCAAGGGGCACGCGTGTTGGTGCAGCGCCTAGAGGCGGGGTTTTCAGTGGCTGGTGGGTCAAGAAAAGGTAAGGGAAACCCGGGGAAATGGAGACATGGACTAACACCTGTCACATTTCATTTTGACCCCCCATATCTTTCTTGAGGGTACCCTCCGGTGTTTGGCAAAAGAAAAGACACCATTTGGGGGGGGGGGGTCCCCCAAAAGACCAGACACACGTGGGAGTTGCTCAGAACGGACCCCGGGTGTTGAAAGGGAACCAAGGGGGCAATTCACAACCATTGATAGCCAATATCTGCCCATGGCTCCCCATCCAAATTGTTACGTGGTGAGCCCCCAATGATTAGGGAGTCATAGGCCTTGCAATAAGGCCTTGAAAACGGGGGTTGTTGGGGGTAGTTTTGGGCCTGGTCAAAAGGATTTGTCTGTGACAAATGTTCAAATCCTCAAGTATGGGTACTTGAGCCCTCTAGAATCCCTCCTCCCCCAAACCCGAAAGCCTCCCAAACCTTCCTTTACCATGCAGAAAACCACCAAATGGGCACTCAGGCCCACATCCCAGAAAGTTGCCACATGCTTACACAATTCAACTCATACTATAGCTATGGTGGCTGCCAGGGTAAAACTGGCGGAAATCACGTGCCTAAGTCCAATGGTGAACAAAGGGGCCCCTCCAAAGGGCCCTTTTAGTCATTGCTCCCATGCGCACACTTGCACACTTGCAATGGTTGTCTCGATTCCCTGAGGGGTCCAGGACCAAATCCCACGAAGTCAACGGATGTTTTGACGATGGCACCTGCTTCCCCTTTCTTCAACGGGTCCCTGGCAACAAAGTTCCCCCCCGCTTCCTCAAAACTAATGCCTTGCTTTCTTTGAAAGGGCAAGTTGAAATGTGCCCCTTCGCGTCCATGCATGCGCAGCACTTGCATAGCTTTCCATAGAGCCAGGCGCAAGGCATGCAAAGACATGCTGTCTTTGCGCGAGCTTGTGCTTCAGCTTTGCCTGGCAGGCCTTCACAATCTTCGCGAGGCAAGTGTGAGCGTCAGCTTAGCTTTGAGACAAGGCTGATCCGCCTTTGATGAGCTCCGGATCAGACAGAGCTGGGAAGCCATTGCTCTTCGTTTTGCCCCTGAAAGAGTGCAAGTCCACCAAGGGCAAAGCGCTCCAAGCTCGCCGAACCTGTAATTGCCTCCAGGTGAGCTTCACCGTCTCTCCAAATGAAGTTTGGCTCTTTCCAGAAGAAAGATTCAGTTGAGTTGGCCCACTCGCACGTGGCTTCTCCTTTTTCTTGGGGTCAATGGTGACTCCACCACCCACCCCGCCCCCCCACCAGAGGAGGCCCCACGCCCCACCTGCAGCAGCGTGCGCTTGCCGATGCCGGGCCCTCGGATCCGAGAAAAGGCAAGATGGCGTATCGGTTGCTCCCAGTTTCCCACGGATTGCTGATCTCTCAAACAGCTTCTCTGCTCGACAGGATTTCTCCCATCCAGTTGTGTATCAGGGCGGGCCCCCTGGCGGAAAGACATATCTAAAACGGAAACCCCCACGATCAAAAACCGGTGGGTAAGTGAGGGGTCAACATCAAGTCAGGAGGGTCTGCCACATGTCACCAACCAAGCTGCGCAGCGCCCTTTCTAACGAGAGGGCGAGGGGGGGACATCCTTGTATCCTGATACCCCATCTGCATCCCAAATCTGC